TAAGTCATAATAAAATGTTTGAACAAGTTGCCAATCAGGCACTTGGTGGTGGGGACACTGTTGGAGAAGGTCTCGAAGTCTTTCCCAAGTCTCATGGAATTGCTCGCCATCCATTTGAGCAAAGTTTGTGATGGCTCGCCTAAGTTGGTTGGTTTTACCTATGGGAAAATACTTCTCCAAGAACCGTTGCTGTAATTGGTCCCAAGTTGTGATTGAATTAGCAGGTAAAGAATTTAGCCAGTGTTTGGCTTTATCCTTTAATGAGAATGGAAACAATCGCAACATTAAGGCCTCATTTGTGAAATTCTGGATCCTCACTATCGAGCAAATTTTCAGAAATTCATTCAAATGCTTATAAGGATCATCATGAGTCAGTCCATGGAATGATGGGAGCATTTGTATGGTGTTGGACTTAATCTCATAATGAGCAGCAGTGGTGTTGGGTAATTGGATGCATGATGGTGATGTATATGCAGTGGGTGTGAAATAATCCTTAAGGGTCCGGTTAGGCACATTCGAGACATCAGGATCTGCCATCTTTAATGGCTCAATGTATGAAGATGAATACTCAAGCCTAAGAACACGAGCAGAGGCCCTTAGTCTCCTAAGAGTCTTTTCTAGTTCAAGGTCCAAACTCCACAATTCAGGCCGACAAGAATGGCGCCCGTGTATACACTACCCACACACACACAAAAAGTTCGACTCTGTGCATTAAGTTACGAAAGTAGAATGCCAACGGAGAAATACTCACAGCGGTTCAACGAAAACGCTTTACTCGTCTTGCGGATGCTTGACGTGTAGACGTTGTCTCCAGCCTCTATTTGAGTTTTGACTTTCGTTTTAGCACTTTGGTGCTTTGCTGTTGAGTGTTTGCTTCTGTTTACGTATTTTAGTGCTGTGGTTTTTTTCTTTTTTATATATATTTTTAAAGCTCGGCTGTGCTCCGCTTGCACTTCAGTGATAGCTCCAATTTCAAACGCTCTGCACACTTAGCAACACAAAAGCATAAAATCTTAAACTAAAAATTAAAATAAGAATGTAACTTTAAATTAACTAATTTCGCCAGAAGTCCCCGGCAACGATGCCAAAATTTGATGGGTCGTTGAACACACAAAAAATAATCACTAAACTATACCAAATTCTATTAGAATAATGACAAGTCCAGGTATCGATCCACAGGGACAAATGTGAAATTAGATTAATTCAATCGCAAAATTCCTAAATTAATTTTGATTAAAAAGATAAGATTGATTTTATAACTAAACAGCAATTAAATGAAATTGAGGAATTATACTGACAATTGAAATTAGGATTTGAGATATTAATTTTTGAGAAAAATCCTAGGGCAGAGAATTCACCACTAACCACATGAATGAGACTTAACATCAGCCATCAATCGCAATCCGGTTTGAACTACCCAATATTTCACAACTACAAGTTTGAAATATTGATCAAGAGCGTTGTTGCGTTCAACGTACAAGCACGAATCATCCCGAGTAGTACGAGTTGTTTACTCTAAACTATGTTAGCAAAACGACCCGTCTCTCATAGCATGACTCGTTTCGTACTTTGAATACAAACACAAAGAATACTAATATATGGAAAGCATTAAACAATCACAGAGAGTAAAATGCTTAAAGAGATGAACGAAACAATTTTTAAAAACTTCTAAATCATCCATACATTCATTCAAACCAATTTACAATTAAAGCTTATGAAAAATTCCGTTACATGGCTAGGGTTTTATCAAAACCCTAGAAAAGACGACTAGCCACTCATGGAGGAGTGGAAAGAGGAAGAAGATGAGGAAGAAACTCCCATGGAAGTGTCCTTCAAGCTTTGGTAGAATATCACCTCTTTGGAACCCTAGCTTCCCTCTATTCTAAATTAAATTTTCGAATCCTAGGTTTGGCTATTTTTCTCTCTTTTATTCGCAGCAAAACAAACCAAAAATTCGGTGCACGCGTCCCTAGGTGGACCGCTCGTGCGCCTATGTGGGCCGCACGTGCGATAGTCTGGCTGGCTCGGATTATTCACTTCTCGCACGGAGAATTTGCTTTCGCGCCTTTTTTGATTGAAGTTTCATATTTCCTGCCAAATCTGTACGAGTGCACGAAACACATCATTTCCACCAAATAAATAAAATTGAAAGACTAAAACTGTAACTTAAGTGGCCTCAATGTGGTACCTTTCGGCCAACATCAGTGTCCTTTATCCTCTAAATTACTATTATTAGGAATCTTAAAAAAAATTCCCCATAATATAATCTAATGTTGAGATAAAAATGCTTTAGTACATAGTTCTCGTGTGGGATTTGGTACATTTAAATTTATGGGTTATTTTGAAAAGATGGTTAAAAGCTATTTTTCAACTTTTAACTTATTTTGGATCATATTATTTCTCACGTTTTTTTAAAAAAAATTAAAAAATTAATTTTTAACCATCTTCTCAAAACACCCCTATATTTGATAAAAAACCGACTTACCTTAAGCTCAATTCAATTGGTACAATCCAAGGCCATTGTAATATCTCTTAAATTTTTTTAAGTACATTTTAATAAAAATTTATTTAATTAATTTTTTTAGGTACTCTTTAATAAAAAAAAAAAGTACCTAAAACGGGGTCGAAAGGGTAACATAACCTAGGTAGTGAAAGTCAATGATTTTAAAATGGCAACTTTTCAAAAAATAATTAATCAAAAGCATGTCACAATCTATAAAATAACAATTTCCGTTAGTTTTCCACATTAGGATTTGTTGTGGGGGGTGTGTCACGAGAGCACATATTAATATATTTTTTTTAATTTTAGTTATTATGTATTCTGAATGTATTCTTATGTCAAATTACAAAAGAGTTGAATATATTTTTTAAATTTGGCAACGCATAAAAAAATAATCGCAGATAAAATAGACACAAAATAAAGTATGACACATGTAATTTAATATGTACTCTTTTAAAGCCTAAGTTGTTACGTCTTTTTTTTTTTTATCAAATGGGATAAAATATAATTATTATTATTCAAGGCAGTTAACACTAGTAACTTATGATTAGGACGAATGGCAACCGCCATAGTGAACTAAGTAAGGTTGTAAAAGTTAAGTAGAATTAAACAAGAAATAATTAAAAAGTAGTTTTAAAGCTAAATTGGTTTCAAAATATTTTAAGTTTGACTTGTTTATTTTTCAAATTGATCTCAAACAAACTTTAATTGAGTCGATCTCGAATCAAGTTTGAATAATTTAATTTTTTTATAATTAGTACAATCGAGTCAAGCCAACCAAGGGATAGATTGTTTAAATTTGATACAAAACTTAATAAATTATAAAATATATTTAAATTTAATTTATTTACATAATGAATTGATGTCAAACAAATACAAATCTAGCATAAATAACTTATTTCGCTTTACATCTCTAAAAGTGTAGTTTGGGCTAGACCTATTTGGAAATTGGATGACAAGCTAGACGCCTAAGAATGCCAACCCATATTTACACTACAGATTGGGCTAAGGTTCGGGTTAAGCTACGGACAGATCAAGCTCAGCCCAAATTGAAATTTGCCCAGAATCTTTAAACCTGGCCCATACTTACTGCAAATTGAGACCAGCCCAAATTAGGGCGGGCTTCGAGCTTAGTCCATTACTTTTTGAAAATTGTTTAATGACTCAAAAAAATACCCACAATTCTACCACAATGATGTCATGATAAGTGTCGAAGGTAAGTTGTGTTAGATATTTCAAATGTTTTATTGGGATTTTAAATATTTTATTAATATTTTTATTAAATGTCTCAAATAAGTGTGAGGTTCACTCAATGTTTTATTGGGATTTTAAATATTTTATTAATATTTTTATTAAATGTCTCAAATAAGTGTGAGGTTCACTCACACACTCATATAAGACATTTAGTAGAAATATTGATAAAACATTTGGGGTGCTAGTATTTTTCGTCAAGTTTTGATTTGTTACATACTCAATAATTGATGATCACCCCTTCAAATGTGTAGGTCTTTAATATTACTCTTATTTTATTTTTCTCTTATATATTAATTAATCCTTTATATTTAAAGTAAGAATGAGTGAGATTTTACTAGAAGTGACTCCTACCACCCTCAATAAATACTGATTGGTTCAAATTTTTTTTTTTTTTTTTGGTTTTCATCCATTGCCAGCCCCTTACGTGGAAGTGGGGGTGCTGGGGTCCCCGGCAGGGCCGTAAATGAAAAGTGAGCTTAATCCAAGAACTAGAATTATTACTATATAAAAAAAAAATAAAACACTTTTTGAAACATTTAAAAATGTTTTTTTTGGATGGTTTGCAAAATAATATTAAATTATATCATCTTTTATAATAAGTTTCATACATTTACAATAATTTAAAATATAAACAATTAAGGCTGCTAGAGGATATGCCAATAGTACAATAATAAAGTATCGATGCAGCCCTAAAATTTAAAAACATATATAAATAATTATTATTATTAACAACCTTACTATAATAAACCCTAATGTCCCTTTCCCAGATTAAATAATAATAATAATAATAAATACTGGACAAATCATATAATGTAATTATAGCAAAACTTTTGCCCATTATTTCCCAAGATAATTAAGTATTAAAGTATGCAATTGCCTAATAATCGTTTGGGAATAAATTACTTTAATAATTTTTTAATTTTTTATGAAAAGATATTTAAAAAAATAGAGTAAATGATGTGACAATTTATGATGACTTTTTAATTAAAATATCTAGTCCCCAAAGGAGATAATGATAATACTATTTTACATTGTGTCATAGGTTAATAAAAAGATTGTAAATGAGATTAAATGAATAATTTCTATCTTTTATTAATCCAATTATATTATAATTCTTATTAGGGCTGTGCGGCGGATCCACCGACCCGCCAGAACTGTCACGACCTGCTCCCAGTAACTGAAGTTACCTTCGGCCCATTCTTAAACAAATTAATAAACGCGAGCAGAAGTAATATTTAAATGAGTGTATCAAAATAATCACTGGAATTTCTATTTTTATTATAAAATTTATTGACCAAAAAGGCCGATATTTACATAGAAAAATATCAATAAAAGTGCTGTGTGTGTATTCCGCAGCCCCGTATCCAAGACTCTCCAAAGGCTATTTCTGAATTTCATTGTTTCCTGAAAATTAGTAAACAACTATAAGTACATGGCAGAGTGAGAAATATTATACCAAGAGTATAAGGGACACGAAATAACCATGGATAGTTAGTTAGGCCAAAACATTTAAGATAACTTAGTCAGAACAAATAATCCTTTAAGTAGCAAAATTGAGATTATGTAAATAAATAATTATAGCCACGGTAATTTGGTAAACAAATTATTTAAGTCGCAGAAACTGCTCATTTAAGTAATAAAACTGAAATACAGAAATTATGTAAGTAAATGACCATAACCACGGTACAGAATAGAACAGAGATCACAGACGTGACAGTCAGAATATAGGTACGGATTCAAGAGGTGGCTCGTACGGATTCTAGAAGTGGCTCCCACAATAGTGTAGCACTTACCTTCGCACAAAATAGAGATCAATGGATCAGAGGGCCACAAAGTAACCAAACAGAAGCCAATGGTTATTTAAGTCTCCCAAAGCATGAGACTTCCGTAGTGGTACTTACAAAACATAATTGTTTATAAGGTCATAGTCAAATATTCTTTAAAATATAAACAAATATATCCGTGGGTTTCCTTTTAAGCAAATAGAGTTCAGAAATAAAACTACGTAGCTAAAATAATAATATAACTTAATATAATTTATAAAACATAATTTATATAAAATAAGTATAGTAAGCCAAAACATAAGTAAAATATATTTTGATAACTCAAAATATAATATAACTCACCTTAACTTTAATACCTTACTATCCATTTCTACTATCAAAGACCCTTTAAACTTTCACTATTTTTTTCCTTCCTTTCATCTCTTTCTTTTCTTCTTTTTTGTCTTTCTTTCTCTCGTTTCTTTGTCTATTTTTTTCCTTCCTTTCGTCTCTTTCTTTTCTTCTTTTTTGTCTTTCTTTCTTTCGTTTCTTTGTCTTTTCTTCCTTCCAGGTGAATCAAAGCCTCCCTATTTATAGGGAGGTAGAACCTTCTCTCGCCAACACGTGGCTACCCCCAATTCATCCCACATATTTTGATAATAATTTCATAGATTCAATTTTATCCTAAATAAATTTTTAAGATAATTATATTTTGACCCGATATTTTAATATAATTATATAAATAAATTAATTCTTAATTAAATTACATTTTATTATATACTAATAGAAAATTAATTATTTATTTTATTACCACACCCATTATTATTATTTATATTTTAATCCCTAAATTTTTAATAATTATATTGTTTTAAAAAATTACACATAATATATAATAAATTATATATTTTCTTTACTGAGATTAAATAATATTAGTATAAATTCGCCCGACCTGACCCGACCACAAATGAATGGATGCATGGAGTGTAGTGGACGAGTGCGGGCCTGAATTTTCAAGTTTCTTGGGTTCGGGTCAGGTGGCGGGTGATCCACCATTTTATCCACCAAACCCGACCCGCCCGTGACCTTTTTTGCCCACCAATTTTATTACATAGACCCAACAAACAAACAAAAGAACAACACACACACACACACACACTCTCTCTCTCTCTCTCTCTCTCTCTTTCTCTCTCTACCCTACCTATCTCCAACGGTAACCTCAGGTCGACGATCTACATTGAACGACCGACGATCTACACTTCTAAACGGCGATCGATCTATACACTGAGGTATATATATATATATCTCTCTCTATAGAAGATTTACAGACACCTCTCTCTGTATATATATTGAGTTGATCGTATGAAAATCTTCGTGTGTTGAGTAATCGGCCTCTGAGGGTTTGATGTATATATTGAGTTTAGAAATTCTATTCGATTGAGGGTTTGATGTATATAATATATATTGAGTTTTGATGTATATATAAGATTTGTTAAGTCATTGAGTAATTGGTCTCTGAGGATTTGATGTATATACTGAACAGTATATATTGAGCTTGATTGAGGGTTTGATGTATATATTGGTTTGGCATATATAAGATTTACAAATAATAAGATTGGTTTTTTTTTTTTTTTTTTTTTTTTTTTTTTTTTTTTTGAGTAAACTATTATATATATTGAGTAAGATTTATTGAGTAAATTGTTTTTTTTTTTAACAGATAACAAGATTTACAGAATTATTTTTGCATTGCCCAGGTTATTTTTGCATTGTCCACTGGTGTGGCAGTATATCAAATATGAATTGAATTGAATTATTTGTTTTTGGTCCGGTAGTATATCAATGTGAATGAATTGAATTATTTGTTTTTGAATTAAATGTGAATTAAAAATATATGAAGTGATTTGGTCTGGCAATATATCACTGCCCACTTGCACTATTATTTGTTTTTGGTTTGGCAGTATATCCATATGAATTGAATTATTTGTTTTTGAATTGAATGTGAATTAAAAATATATGAAGTGAATTGGTCCGGCAGTACATCATTGCCCACTTGCATTATCTTTTGCTTACCTATGTTTTGACAATATTTTAGGAAGTGCAACGCACAATTGAATTATGTTCAGGTTGTGTTTTTGAGAAAGTGTGTAATTTTATGTTAAAAATTTATAAATTTTTAAATCGCGAAATCGATTCGTATCCATCTGTCAATTCGCATCCGTCGGATTAACGGACAGATACAGATTAATTTTCTCTAATCCGTTAATTTGACGGATGGATGATAGATTGAAAGTTTCGTGGCCACAACCAATCCGCAACTACCTCTAATTCTTATTATAAAATAAGATTAGTCATTAAATAGTGATAAATTACTTAAAGCACCACCATACACTAACGACCACGCGTACAACTAATCTAGTTAATTAAAGCACCGCCATACACTAACGACCACGCGTACAACTAATCTAGTCCACTATTTCAATGAAAAGCCGCCATCACATTAATTTAGATAAGACCAAAATTCTTAACGACCACTAGTATGGATGGATTGTCGCGTAATGTTGATGGGCTACCCAGACTCTTAAGGCTCCCGTGAAATTTTCTTACATTGATGGTTACAGTTTTTGACTCTTTAGTAAGGGCTGGTTTGGGGTAACCTGAATCAGCTAAAAAGTCAAAAAGTTACTCTAAAATTTAAAAAAATATTATTATTCTTCCAAAAAAAAAATTAAAAAATTAATTTCTTTCAAAATAGGTACACACGGAATTGACAAATAGTCAGCGGCTGTGTGCGGCAGTGCAGAACAAAAGAAATGATTGGGTGTGATTTTTATACACACCGTTGTTCGTCCCATGGGGCCATCACGGGTCCCGTTTTGATAATCTGAACCGTTCAATATGTAGAAATCGTCGAGTAATATATGTCTGCCAAAAATCACATTAATCGGATATCGATAACTATATGATCAAATCAGTTATGTACAACAAATGGATGGTGTTATAATTAATGATTAATAAATAAATAAATCTAATCAGATAGCTATCGATATCCGATTAACATGATTTTTTGTAAGTACATAGTGTTCGACGAGTTACACACATTACACGGTTCAGATTATTAAAATGGGACCCGTGATGACCCCCACGGGCCAAACAAAACCGTCCAATGCTTTGTACAAAAATTAGCCAATAATTTCCAACCCCAATGCACGGCTGCATTGTGCACGGCTGGGGCCCACCACTCTCTAATCATCTCTTACACATTTTTTTTATACAATTTTTTAATACACATTTTTTCATAAAAATCCAAAAAGTTAATCCAAACCTCTATATTTTTTTCTCAACTTTTTTAGTCCAAAAAGACAAAAAGTGCACTTTTTTAGGACACCCCAAACCAGCCCTAAAACACAGTTAAATTATTAATAGGTCTTAATAATTAAATTTAATTTTTATTAAGTTTTATTATAAATAAATGCTCCTTTTTATGCCTTAGTCTTAGGCTCATTGGTATGCATGTTTGCATGAGCATTTGTCCACCATTTCCACCACTTTTGGCCACTGTTTTGGGGCATGGTTGAGGCCTCCCATTTCAGTTTAAGACCACCCTTGTATATAGTTGCATGCTTAGCATAATGCATGTTGCATTACATTAGTTGCATGCTTGTATTATATCTTGTTTACATGTTTGCATATTGTTTAGCTGAGTGCATCACATAGTCTTGTTGTATGCTTGACATGTTCATATTGCATTAGTTTAGCTTGCATGAGTAAGTAGTGTCATGTTGCGTTAGCTTAGCATGCTCATATTGCCTTGCATGAGTTGCATCACTTTGCATTGTATATGGCATACATGCATTGCATCTTGTTTGGTTTGGGGTGTCAAACCAAACTTGAGGAATGAGGCGTGTTCGTACTTAAAGTGACGAAACACGTCTCACTCCTCGGTCGCCAATGCCCTTGACCTCAACATGATAGGGCATGAGGCACTCATTTCTTTTGTGCATGCATTTACATCGAATGGCAAACTTGGCCTCTTAGGCCATCATGCATCAAAATGCATAATTGATGGCCCGAGGGTCGAGAGCCACGCTCCCTAGAGTCCATTGCATGATAAGGAGTGTGGCCATGCTCACATTTGCTTGAAAATTCCATGCCATACACTGCTTGCCCTCTGCTGCTGTCAACTGCAGGATGCTGCAGGAAGAAATAGCCGGCCGGCCATTTGTAGTACCGACCGACCGACCATTAGTGTCCAGCCGATGGCCCAATATTTAGCCGATGAGCATATTCCCATGGCCGGTGATCTTATTCCTTGGCCGGTGGCATTCCACAATGCTCAAGGAGCAGTTCAGAAGCAACCTTAGGATTTTCATAATTATCAAAGGAGCAGGGCAGTGTAAACAGAGGCAACAGTGGCATGGTATCGGGTTTCCGAGAAAGGCAAATCGAGCATGCATCATTCACGCATTCCGAGGCAGAGCTGCGGCGGTCTCTTTAGTTTCATATAGATTCTGCAGGAAGCTTTGGCCGGTCGACTACACCAAGTGCCGATCAACCATTTCTGAATGGCCGATAGCTCCATATATGGTCGATGACCACCCTTCCATGGCCGGTGACCATTTGCCTTGGCCGGTGGTGTTCTACAATGTCCAGAGAGTGTTCCTTGGGAATTGTGCCATTTTCAGAGGAGCAGAGCCAGGGAAACAGAGGCAACTTGTGTATGGTGGCGGATTTTCGAGCGAAACCGAGGGCGCATGCATTGGACCCTCTTCCCGAGGCTAATTTTTTACTGCTTAATTAGCTTAGTTAATTTGCTTAACTAGTTAATTGTCTGTAATATTTAATTAGCTTGTAGGTTAATTAAATTGTATTATTCTTTTAGTCCCTCTGAGCGAGGGCGAATTTGTAATAAGTGTGGGTGCGTGTGTGCATGTCTTCCAACCCCCACTTCTTTCTCCCTTTTACTTACCTGATTTGATGGTTAGAATTAGGGCATGTTTAATTTAGCATACCTTATGCTGTGCATGCGTGTATCATTCATCAGTCTTGCATGCACCAGGCTCAGCGCATCATGCTAACTGCATAGTATTTTGAATTCCAAACTTGAATACGTGCATCAAATTATTGTATTTCACATGTCATCCTTAGATTAGCCCAGCCTATTCTAATGACATTTTCTACGCGACGCATTAGCCATTTTTAACATGAATTAGGAACATGCATGATTACTGACTAGTTCATTGTTTTGGCACAGAGTACGATGTAAGTATTTATGCTTTAGCATCTCGCATGAGTGTGAATGTTAACATGACAATATGCCTACCATGCGGCTATATGCTTACGTGACATTACTGCCTGAATGCCTGTGGGTGAAGGTTGGATTGTTTGAGTTGGAACAACTCATTGAAATCCGTGTTTTAGCCTACTCGTGAGTAGCAAATTTCAAATCATTTTCAAACAAATGGATATGCGATGCTTTGCTCCAAATTAGGCGATCTAGTCTATACTTGTTTTGCTGCGCACATCACATAGTAATTCTAGGC